GGGCGGCTGGCGGGGCGCCCAACAGCCGGGTCTGGGGGCTCGCCTGCGGTCGGCCGGCCCGCGCACCTGGGAGCCGCTCTCTGGGATGCTTGGCCTTCCCCGTGCCCTCGGCCCCGGGGACCCCTGCCCGGCCCTCGTCGGGAACCCCGGCGCCTGTGGGGACCTGGGTGGGGGTGGGGGAGCTGCACCTGTGCTCGGGGGGAACCCGCCCCATAGCGACCTTCCTCTTTTTATGTCTTGGGCAAGTGGATCTCCAGGGAAAGGAACGTTCGGAGGAGAAGGGATGAGGATGGGGTCCCCGACAGAGGGTGCCCTGACCAGGGGTCTGCTCCACCTCCCCGTATGTCTGGGACCCTGGGTTTCAGTCTCCCGGTGGTCTGGGTCCAGCTCAGGGTCCAGGGTTTCCTGCAAGTCGCAGACAGATGTGGAGTTATGTAAGGAAGATGAGGAGCCCGAGCAGACCCAGCTAGGAGGGGAGCGAGCCCACCAGGGGCTCAGACGGCCCCGGGTCGGGGAGGAGAGGCAAACGGCTCGGAGCCTGGCCACGGACCCCGCCGGCGGTCACTGCTGCAGCGGACAGACGAGGTCACTGCGCACAGGGCGCAGCCAGGCCGGCGGCGACGGCTGCCTTAGCGCCTGCGGGAGGGGCAGGGCAGGGCGGCGGGGGGAGGGAGCGCCCCCTCCCCCCAGATACAGGCGCTCAGATACACGGGGTCAAGGACAGATTCAGCCGGAGACACAGCAGACAGACAGACGCGCCCACACTCAGGCACACAGACACCCACAGACTGGGGAAACAGCCACCAGCGTCAGGCTCCGGGACCCAGGAACAGTTAGACAGACCAGACAGCAGACAGCAGGGAGCAGTGCCCGAGGGAGGGGAGGCAGCGACTCTGCTCTGTCGCTGGCGTGGCGCATCGGGATGCCTCAAAGAGGACAGAAATGCGCACCACCGTGTGTGGTGAGGACCATGAGGCTGCTGGGGGCGGGGCTGCAGACGGGACCCCAGGTGCCAGCACACACAGGCACCTCCATACTTACGGCAGCCTCCGGATCATGTATGCACCCACCCCTCCCCCTAGCGCCAAATGCGGTTCAGAAACTCTGGGAAGTGGGGGGCTGGAAGCCCTCTGCTCCCTCCTTAGGGCTGGTTGCAGAGAGGAGCTCCCAGGCCCAAGGCCCCAGCCAGCTCACTATGTTCTAGGAGGCTGCTCTGGGGAAAGGGCTTCAGATTCCAGTTCATCCTCTTCCCAGAAGCCCTCTCTGACTATCTGGTGTATTCATTGCCCTCCACCAGCAAACGCTGGTCTTCTCACAGGCTCCCCTATTTTCCCCTGATCCCCTTCCCCCCGAGGGCAGGGGCTATGCAGGGACCAGACACATAATGGCAAGTGGAAAGTTCCCTGCAGCTAGGCAGTGAGGGTCTATTGGACCCCATCAAGCCCATCCTCCAAGTTCTCCTGTGGCCTTTGGTGTTGGGTCAGAACTCATGGTCCCGTATCCCCAGCCAGCAGCTCCAAGTTGGGTAGCCCCTCGCCCACGCCTTGCTCTTCCCCAATCACCCCCAAGGCTGGCTCTGACCACATACTGCTGCCTGGGGCCTCTGAGGCCTCAGGAGGTGGAGGGGGATGGGGGCTAAGGGGGGAGCCCCAGCTCTCTCACTCACTGGCTGGAGCCTCAGTGCCCCACCTGGGAATGGGGAATTTGATTGCTTACCCTGCAGGGTTGGAGGCAGAGTTGACAGGAGGCTGTGTAAAGTCCTTGTAAAGTCTCAGACCCTTGTCCTGTGGTTGTCATTATTCTGGAAACTCACAGGAGGTGAACCAAGCCTGGAAGTGACAACTGGGGCTTGGGACCCCAACAGAACCAAAGATTAGGGGATCTGGAAGCACACGCAGCCCTTCTCCCTCCCTGCCTCACCCCACCTTTAATCCACAGCTGTCCAGGACTCTAAAGACCTCCCTGCCCGCTGACCATCCCCAGAGAGCCTGGGCAGTGCTGGTCTGGGGCCGAGGACCCAGGCAGAGGGGCTTCTCTGGTGGCCTCAGCCCCCACCTATTCTGCAGTTGTTCTGGGGAATCACGGCCTATTGCCACAGTGATGGCAAAATGTCCATCACACAGTAGGGGCAGACAGTGTGTTCGGTGCTGGGACACCCATGTGCTGCAGGTCACCTCACTGCATCCTCATGGGAAGTGTGAGAAGGAGGCCCAACTAAGCCCCCCCCCCATTTTACAGTCAAAGCTTGGGGGCCAAGCCCCTCGTCTAAGAGCACACAGCTGGGGGTGGGGGTTGGACTCAGTTCAACCCAACACTGGGGACCCAGCTGCGTGACCTTGGATGAGTTACTGAATTTCTCTGGGTCTGAGATCTTCCTCTGTAAATGGAGGCCAATAGGAGAGGGGAAGGCCAGGGTTGGCCCAGGGGTCTGATAATGTCACTGACTGGTGGTCATCACTCCCTCTCGGGTATACACAGTGTGAGCACCTACATGTATGACCTCAGCAGCCCCAGTCGCCCTAAAGGTGGGCAGGATCTGCTGCCCCTGTACAGAGCCAGTAAGCCACCTGTCCAAGGTCACACAGGCCTAGAGTTCACTCTCTCAATGGCCCCTGCTGGCCCAGCCCTGACGTTGGGGCCCCGAGGCCAGCATGACCAGCACACATGTGCAGGGCCTTGGCCTTGCCACACGGGAGCCTGGTGTCCTCTGGGCTGGGGCCTACCTTGGCCAGTGCAGTGCAGGCTGAGTGAGACAGGCCTCCATGTGGCCTTCTACAGGGCATCTTGCCCTGGGACTCTGTCCCAATAGTGGCTATCCCAGTTAAGTGCACTTGGGTGGAAAAAGGAAAGTGGCCCAGGTCAGACTACCCATGGATTTGGAGTCAGTGGTCAACATCCTGGCAGACTGGTCAGGGGCCTGAGAGGAAAGGCACTAGAAGTGGAGCCAGGGAGCCAAGGAGCTGCTGGAGCCATGTGCATGACCACAAGATGTGGCACCAGCAGGACAGGTTTTGTATCACGTGCAAACAGCTACCAGAGGCACCCACCAGGAAGACATGGCATAGCAAGCCCCTGTCACCGGCCACCCCAGAACCAGCATGACAGCACAAATGGAGTGGCCACACTGGGGCCACGCATGGGCCCAGAAACATGGACTCCCCTCTCGGAATCCCCTCTGCTGAGGCCCATCCCCTGCTGCTGCCTCTGCCTCCGAATGGCTGGCCATAGCCAGCAGGAGTCCAACACAGCCCCAGGAGGACTCCTTCCTCCAGCACAGCAAGTCGCCACCTGGTGGTGAGCTGGCTACACTGGGCCCCTTCTGCTCTGGTCCTCATGGGGCTGTGCACCTGCTCCAGGTATGGGTTTGCTCACCTTGCGCACAGAGCCTGCACCACAATCCAGGGCTGTATGGAGCACTGCTCCACAGGCATGGAAGCCCACACAGCATAGCACCTGCCCAGGAGGCCCAGTTCCAGCAAAGGAGATGCAAGAGTGGTCCCACAGCCTGCCACACGCCGTGGGAGTATCTGGCCTCACTAGATGCAGGAACTTCCTTCCTGAGACACGTCAGCATGGGGCGGGAGACAGCACCATCCTACGGGATGCAGATAACGAAACAGAGGCTTTAGACGGCACTGCATCTCCAGCAAGAAGGGCACAAGCATTCAGGAGCCCACAGAGCAGGAGGAGGGTCCCCACACTCATCCCTCCCAGTGATCCACTGAGGAATGTGTGCTTCTGAAACTTGGAGCTCTGCAGGGTTAGAGGTCCTTATTCCCAGAAGGGGCACACTGTCACCATGGGACATAAGAGGAACCCGCTGAACAAGAAGAGGCATCACCATCTGTGAGGGGTGAGTGGCCCTGGTCAATAGGAGGAGGTAGGGCCATGGTTCCATGGTGGGGAGATGAGTGTGGGACTCAGGGACCCTCTCGGGCACCCTGGTCCTCCCTTGCCCGGTTGTGTCTGTGAGCAGACATGTGCAACCAGTACAGCTACCCTAGCCTCAGAAGGTGTAGTGGCCAGGAGTTCAGGACCCTCAGGAATAAGGGTAAGCCCCCAAGACCTGCAGTAGCGGCAGCTGAGCAGGGGAGGCCCAGGCCCTGTACACTGGCAAGATGCCACCCCCTGCACCTACGCCTCCCGCACAGTGTACCTTGCCTCCACGCACCGTGCCCGCCCCCCACCCCGCACCTGCGCTGTCACAGGCAGCGGCTCTGCCACAGCATCTCTCGCTGCTCTAGAAAAGACCTCTCTCCCTCAAACCAATGGTGTGCCTGGTGCGGCTGTCCGCAGAGCTGTCCCCACTGTTCAGGGACATGGCCCACTAATGAGAAGTGATGAGAGAGTGGGGCTGCTGAGGGCCAGGGTGGGATGTCCTCCTGCTGGCTATGCCCAAGCCCCCGTTGGGGTCGGGTGCAGGGCCGCACCACCCTTCACAGCAAGTGCTGTTCGCTTTCTCTCTTTCTGCAAGAGCTCATTTAAATATGGGA